AAAAATGATTTTTATGGAAAAGAAGGTTGGACCCTTCATACAATTCTAGTAAACACCAAATCAAAGAATTATTGATAAGAGCATTTGACCACTGGTCTGATGATGGCAAACAAGATGCTTGGTTTACTGCATCAGCATTTGATGTTGTTCTACAACAATTAACACAATTAGATGAAAACATTAAATCAATTAAAATATTTTCTGATAATGGTGGGCATTACCATAATTCAGAATTAATGGTGATTGCTAGTTATTGGAAAAAATGGTATAATTTGAATATAACAAAATGGCAATTTTTGGAACCAGGAGAAGCTAAGACCATTGTAGATTCTCACCATGCACAACTATCTCATGGATTTATTAGATATACAAAATTAGGCCATAGCATTTCTAGTGGAGAAGATATTGTAATTTCTAATGAATCTCTTGCAGGTACTTCATTTGGCAAGTTAACTCCAAATCGTAGTAAAAAAATATCAGTTGGAACCATTCCAGGAATTTCCAATTATTTCACTTTTATGTGGCCAACTGATGAAGAAGAAGGAGTTATAAAAGCCTATGAAATACCTAATTATGGATCACCAAAAATTTATTCAATATCTGATATAAAAAAACTTCTCAAAAATAATAATATAAGCCAACCAAATGCTATAATTAGTGACCAAACAATACCTCAATCAGAATGGAAAATGACCATTCCTACACAAATTAACCCATCCATCCAGAAATTGAAAACTTCAGAAGCAAGATTCATCCTTAAAGATAAGAATTTGGATTCATCTGGAAATAAATTAGTTATCAAAGAAAGGTTAGACCAACATAGCAGTTATGATTTATTATATAATTCAATGCTACTGGATGATAATGATATTAGTGATATTAATATGAAAAATTTATTAAAACCTGGATTTGCTTTGAAAAGCAAACAAATATTTGGAAAAAAAGGTGGTGGCAAAAGAATTAATTTATAAGTGCTTGAAAAATTAAAGGAAACGTTTTTAGCTGGTAATATAGAAAAAAATCAAAAATTATCAGCTGAAAATATGTTAAGAAATCTTCAATCATATGCTGAAAATAATGAAATTGAATTCAATAATATTCCTTCACTCCAACAAATTAAGTCATGGATATCCAGGTTTAATCAATATCATAAAAAGCAAGCAGCTGAAAAATAATGTATAAAAATATCATTTATTTATTTGCATTAAAATGAATGAAAAAAATTGTAAAAAATTTTTTAAAAAATTCACCTAACATTAAAAAAGTTCTTTAATTAGTTGGAATTTTTTTTTTTAAAAAAAAATATCAACAAGTAAAAATAAATATATGCTAAATGATCATTATCCTGGCAAATTTAACCAATGAATGTGTGAAATAACATACCAAATATCATGTTCATCAAATGTTAAAAAGGTTCTTCAATTAATTGAATTCTTTTTTTTAATTTTTTTGAAAAAAAAATTTTTAAAAAATCAATGAGTAAATTAAGTAAAAATAAACATGCTAAATGACCATTACCCTGGCAAACTTAACCAATGGATGTGTGGAATAACATACCAAATAACATGTTCGCCTAATGTTAAAAAAGCCCTTCAATTAATTGAATTCTTTTTTTTTTTTTTTTGAAAATTCTCCAAAAAAATCAATTAGTTGAAAAGGAATCTTTAAAGAAAAATATTATAAAAATATATATGTTTAATAATATTCATAATAACAAATATTTCCAATAAAAAAAAAGGTTTCCTCCACTCTTGCTATAATTTTTACTAATGGTACTTCTCATTGAATTAATCTACTTGATACAATAATTTTCTGGAAATATAAGCTTCTCTTATTTTAATATTAATAAAATTAATTTCAAAAATATAATTCATGAAATTAAGACTATATACATCAAAGCTAATCAACTTATTTCAAATCTATGGCAAAATAGATTACTTAGGCAATTGTTTATGAAATATTAATACACAGTGAGTCTTGGTATAGTGGACCTCGGTATAGCGGATTTCTAATAAAACTCTCAGTTTAATGGATCAAAGCTCAGAACCATCTATAAGTAAATTCTCTCGGTTTAACAGATTTACTAATTAAATCTTGAATTAATCTCGTATAACAGATTTTTGAAATTTTTGTTCTAATTGCCCAAATTATCTGCTATACCGAGACTCACTGTGTAATAATAATAATAATAATAATTCTGTATTCAATACAAATGTTGTTACACAATAATTTATATATCAAAAGGACCAAAAAATTCTACATCCCCCATTATAAGCTCTTTTTCTTTAAATACAATGAACAAAAAAATTATATATCAATAATATTTGAGATTTTTACATATATATTTGTAAAAAAAATTATGTAGTGGAACAAAAGCATAGTACAACTTTTCGTGCAAAGTTATCAAATTGGACATTTTTGTGTCAATTTTCCCCCCACCAATCACTATGTACAACTCACTCATTCATAGATGGATCATCAATTAAATTATTTTTTCAGTGGGTGGTAAATGGTATTAAAAAATATGCATCGAATATTGGCAAGGAAAATATAAAGGATCACAATCCTGGTATTAGATAACAGATGAAGGTAAGTGCAGTAATATATTTATAAGAAAAATGGCAGAAGACTTCACTTTTTATGGTATGTGATTGAAGTATGTTTTTGGTATGTGTTCAGGTGGTGTAATCTTCAGAAATATCATATATAAAATATGGAAGAACACAACACTTTTTGATGATATGTTTTTGGGTATGTGATCGATGTATAGTATATGTGTAGTAATCTGCATAATATATATAAGATAAATGGCAGAACACTACACTTTTTTCAGGTAGATATATACCCACTTTAATGGTATGTCTTTGGGGTGTATAAGTTCAGTAATATTATATAAGAAAAACTGAAATTATATACCCATCTGATGGTATGTTTTCAGAGTAACTAACTTTGGTAATATTATATAAGAAAAAATGGTGTCCACCCAAGGTAAAATTATTACAGATATATATTATATTATAAAAAATCAGTGTCTGGTCAAGGTAAAATTATTATAGAAAGGATAGTTATACTTTGGATAGACACAAAAAGTATATATAATTTGAAGAAAAATCAGTGTTCGGTCAAGGTAAAATCAGTGTCCACCCAAGGTAAAATTATTACAGATATATATATTATAAAAAATTATGCTTTGGATGGACACGAAATAAATGATAACAATTTGGCACTATGTGCCTCATCATCAGATGATATTTGAATGAATTATATGAAGCTAACAACTGCTAACAATTCGGCATTATGTGCCTCATTCTCAAGTAATATAATAGATAACAATTTGGCACTATGTGCCTCATTCTCCAGTGATATTTGAATGCATCATATAAAGATTACAAATACTATTTTGGCACTAGGTGCCTCAAACCTGGCCCTCATTGAGGAATTAACCAGAAAGCTAAGGCACTACATGCCAAGTTCGGGCATAGCCCTCACATTGGGCCCACAAATGGTAACACATGACTGAATGCATCATCAGCATATTTTTTTGCTTGCGTGACCCAATGACAGAAATTGGCCATAATTACCAAACTGGCATACATTATATGGCATATGGGTGACAACAAAAATTTGCTACAATTAGTGTTTGAATCCGAATCTCAAATGAGACTCATTAAGGGGTTACACACTATCAAAGTAGCTTAAAATCATGTGTTCACCCATGATCTTGATAATGTGTAACCCCCTTAATGAGTCTCATTTGAGATTCGGATTCAAACACTAGCTACAATTGTCATTCGAGTGACATGAAAAATAGAAAATTGCATGTCAAGTCACCTGCATATCCCAATAACTCTCAGATGGTGATACAAATGCAATCTACACGTCACCTGATAAGTATACTATAAACGTCTCATCTTTGATGAGGCAAATGCAAATTGCTTGTCATACCCAAGACTATTATCCCTTAAACTGTCCACATTTTCAAATAAGGTAATTTCGAGAAATTTATTGGTAAATTACAAAATTCCACCAATCAAAATTAACCAAATCGCACAATAAAAATTTTATTATGAATATATCAATTTTTAAGGTAATGATCAACACGGACATGGTAGACTTTTTACAGTTTTACAAAACCCATAATAGATGATAATAAAATTCGAACTTACATTCTTGCTAATGATGGCTGAATTTCTATATATAGATCAATGTATAAAATCTCAAATATCATTTGTTAATTAGAAAGCATGATGATCAGAAAAAATTTTCTATATATATAAAAAAATTTGATCATACAAATTTGTACAATAGCCAGTTTAAGGGATAGTCTAATCTAAGTTGTTTTTTGTTTATATAAACAAAAAACGACTTATGCCACTTTATCACATTGAGATTAGATTTGACAAGTTGATCTAAAAAAGAAATTTTTAAACTTACATTTATTGGATTTTAGCATTTAAAAGATTTCTTTTATCATGGTTTTTTTTTAAAAAAATTTTTTAATATAAATATTTATTTTTTCATAGTAGAAAATGCTATTATTGTATTATTTTTCAATTGACTGTTTGTTTGAATATCTGTTTTATAGTCCAGTTTACATAAGAAAAATGTTAGACACAAATTTTCTCTTACAATAGTTAATCCTTTCTTCAAGATACTTCTGATAGTATTATAATTCGTGGGTCCCATAGTAGACCTGATGCAAATGAGTTTCATATTAACTATTTTGTCTAGACAAATATCATGGTCACATTACATTGTAACACAATTGTGATGCTAAACAAACCTGAAATTCTTGGTAATACCAATGTTCACTTTGTCTGGTTTTGTTGCAGTATGCCCATATACTATTTTTCAAATAATTTATTTAATAAAAATTTTTAACGATATATAGACAAGTATTCAAATTTTTATAATATTATTAGCATTCTTTCTTTTCAAAATATGCATAAATGCTTTTTTGGATTTTTGGCCCCATAAGTTTAACAATACCTAAATATTTTCTAAAAAATGTGCAAATCATCAATTTTAAATTTTTCATTGTTTTTCTGTTGCTCAAAAAAATTAATAAATGTTTCTAAACCATTAATTGCATTTTTTACTGGTATCAAAGGTATTTCTTCATCTGATGATGAATCATTACCATTTTCGTCCATTTTTTCAAATTGGACAAGACTTATAATTTCTTCATCATTAAGGTATTCTTTAGTTGGTACATTTTGATCAAAACTATCAAAATATTCATTTACATCATCAGCATCTGGTAATATAATAATGTCATTATCATTATCATCAAGCTCTGAATCTTGAATACTTGCATCGACCATAATGATATCATTATTGTTTGGGAGAATTCCTGTCTTAATCCAACAATTTTGAATGGTTGTTTCAGTGACATTATTCCAAGCCTCAGCAATAAAATAAATAGCTTCTTTTACATTCAGCTTATCTCTAAATATAAGTGATTAGTATACTTGATTTACATGATTTAAAAAAATCTGATAATTGATTATTAATTATATCATTACATACCTTTGATTATATGTTCCATTATCAAAATGGTGAATTAAATATTTACAATATTCACATTATTGTTTGGGAGAATTCCTGTCTTAATCCAACAATTTTGAATGGTTGTTTCAGTGACATTATTCCAAGCCTCAGCAATAAAATAAATAGCTTCTTTTACATTCAGCTTATCTCTAAATATAAGTGATTAGTATACTTGATTTACATGATTTAAAAAAATCTGATAATTGATTATTAATTATATCATTACATACCTTTGATTATATGTTCCATTATCAAAATGGTGAATTAAATATTTACAATATTCATGTTTGTATTTAGCTTTAAAACTATGGATGATACCAGCATCCATTGGCTGTAAGTGTGCAGTGGTGTTAGGAGGAATATAAATAAGTCTAATATTTGTAAGATTAATATTTGGTGTTTTTCTTCCCTTTTTTTTTGTGTTTGACCAATGTTGGTTTTTCTTCTTTGAGACGACTGAGATGATTCTGCAATTGGTTCTTCATTATCAGAACATGAACTTGATTCTTCATTGATAATTATAATTTCTTCATTGTGATCATTGACAATGGTAGAGTTTTCATTAGATTGTTCAAGTTGCTTTGGATTAAAATGTGACCCAGCATTATCAATTAGAAGAACAACCTTTCTGTCCATTGCACAAAAAAATCTATCATGATAATTGAGCCACTCAATGAAAATGTCAGATCTCATCCAAGCTTTTGAATTTGCATGGTAAGTAACAGGTAGTGTAGATTTATTAATATTTGTAAAGCAACGTGGGTTTTGAGATTTTCCAATCACTAAAGGAACAAATTTGTGACTACCACTTGCATTAGCACAAAGTAAAACTGAAAGACGACTTTTATCCTTAATTTAAAAAAAAAAACTTTAATATTTGCAAACCAAATTTTAGAAATAATGAATCAATGAATTTACTTTTTTATATCCTGAAATTGGGCCAGTACTTAATGTTTGGTTGGGTTGCATCCTAAAGAAAATTCCTGTTTCATCAGCATTATAGATATCTTCTTCATTATATTGACTTAAAATAAATTGCAATTTTGAACGTTCTTCAGGAAGAGTTTGGAGTGGTGCACTATTAGCCTCACCAGAATATTTAATTTTATGTAAACCATTTCTTTTTTTGAATTTATTATATCCAACCATTTGCACATTTTATTTGGTTTTCAATATTTAATCCTCTTGCGAATTCCTCCCCCTTTCTTTGTAAAATTAAATCACTTAAAGGCATTCCAGCAGAAACCATTTGTGCGGTCCATATTTGCATTGCTTTAACAAATTCAGGAAATCTTGTTGAATGCTGACGAAATTTGTCCACTCCAATCATATCAGAAACTAAATTCAACCATTTATCTTTATCTTTAAATATTTTGGAAATACTTGTTCTATCAATATCAATATTTAGTTCTTTGTATTTATTATTAAAGAAAGAGGCAACATCAGCATGTTTAACATTTCGGTGAGCCATCATATATTCACAAATTTCTTTTTTTAATTTAACACTGATAGCAGTGCGAGTTCTTTTAGCAGTTATTTCTGACTTCTGCATTTTTATTTAACTATTGAATTATTATCAGTTCTTTTTATAAGTATTAAATTACAACATGAAACCACTAAACTGAATTTGCAATTGTAAACACCAATAAGAATAACTTGGAACCAATTCAGTTTACAATAATTAAATTTTAAATATAATAATAGATTTTTTTAATTCAATTATTCATCATTAAATTAACTAACCATTAATAGTAAAGAATAAAGATTACAAATAAAACAAATAAATAGTGAATAGGATGAATAAAACGAATTTGTAGATTTGCAGTAACTAAATGTAATTTATGAATTTAATTTGTTGGTCGTTTGTGAAAAATAAAATTTGCAATTAATTATTTGTGGCAGCCTTAATTATTTTATTATGGCTGCAATAACCAATTATGGCAGGTGTTTTTAGAATGATAGTTTCGGTTATATGAAATACAATGATATAAAATAACATCATTATTTTTTTTTGCAAATTTTTAAATTTTATAAAATTTAGTGATTGTATGGAGGGATTTTTTCTTATCTTTACTAATGTCGTGTTATATGACTAGGTGTGATAGTGACTATAAGGGAGGAGTGACTATACAGGAGGTGACTATATGGGGGCCGACTGTATTTGCTAATACCCCATTACCCAATTTGGCATCATTTGACCAGTAAAATGAGAACAAATAGAGTATACGGTGCAGATCATCTATAATCATTAATTGCTTATAGTAACAATTGGTCAACTTCAAAATACTAAAACAAAAA